TTACTTGTAATTAATAAAAAAAACCTTTACCTATCAAAATTAAAAAGAAAACTATCGCAACTTGAACTCCACATAGCACGTTGCAGTTATCATCGAAAAATAAAAAACTGTACACTCAAACTTCTAAATAAATACGTCAGTTTTCATTGGACTCAAGTTTTTGCTTCTTTGCTTTCAAAGGAACAACAAATGTGCATAAAATGAGCCCACAATATACAAAGCAGGTGCAATTTTCTTTATTTTTTTTTAAAGAATACGCCATTTTTACACAACAAAGAACAAAACAGAATTTAGAAGTCAGCGCAACAACTTATTGTCACAATTGCTGCATGCTAGAACATCGGGTGATAAGTGTGGGGCAATTATTTTCACTATATTGCTTTTCGACAACTTGCGGCAATCAAAATTGTATGAAAAGAGGCAACCGTGTCACTGTACAGAATTTGATCCGGACAATTTTTTTATTGTGCTCCAATACAGCACAATAAAAATTGTTCCAGATTGGTACATTTGCGGCAATCGCGTGATCGCAGCTTTACTTTGTACTACTGAAACAAATAAATAAATTAAATTATTCAATTGGATGTGCACATTGTACATAAAGGAAGTACATAACAAAATTAAAAAAATAAATGCCTTTTTTCAAAGCTCATTTTGCCTTTTTTAAATTTTTAGTACCTTAGAATCCTAATCCTGGTTATTAACATCTTATTATCGGAGGCGCTACGCCCTTTACTGGTTGTTATTAAGACTCCCGCTCCTGCATAAGCTTTGCAATATCGGCCTTACCATGCCTAATTTGTATAAAATGTTTGTATTTATCCCGGAAATTGCTACATCAAGCTTATCAAAATTTGATATTAATAAATATATCTTATTCGTTTATCTCACGACTTTGTAAAAATATGCAAAAACGGAAGAAACCATGCACACTTTACATATTGGAATCTCTCAAAATTTTAACATATAACATACATAACACTGTGAGACAAATGGTAGGGGTCAGTGATCGGGAAGGGTTCAAACTACCGGGGAAAGTTATATCGGTAAAAAAGAAGTTATACGTGTCCCGGCGTTTCGCTTACGTTTTATCAGACAATGAATATGAATGAATTTCGTTGTTAAAATTGTATGGAATAGCTAAATTTTGAACGCCAGTATCTTTTAAAAGAGATCTATTTTTTAAAAACCGTTTTAGAGTTTTGCTTTTCTGTGATAGATGCGGTAACCATTCCGAGGGTAGCCCTGGGGCACGGCAGAAAGATAGGGAGCTTCGGTGGGGCCACTCCGACTTTTTCGGTTTAAGGGCTCACTGAAGTCTGCAGCGTATGTTCACCAGTAGGTGCGGCTGTAAGCGGGGGTATGTCCGTGAATCTGAAAATTCAGCCTCCACGACGAAACGTCCGACCACGGACTGAGGCTGTTAGACTTCGCTCGGGCCCGAAACATAGTAGTAGGTAGTATGCAGTACTAGGTTCAAGCATAAAAAGATTTATCAAGTTACGTGGCTGTCTCCGGATCGAAAAACGAGAAGCCAAATCGATTTTGTTGCGATAGACGGAAGGCATACTTCCAGTGTTTTGGACGTACGTACACTCCGAGTGCCAAACATCGACTCGGACCACTAACTTGTTGCCACCGGCAACGCACCCGGCTCTGGGCAGCAAAAAATGTGCACCCAAATATGCAATGAAAGCTTAACGTCGAAAAGCTGCAATCACGACAGGCAGCCAATTCATTATCTACTCGACTCTCACACCTGCTCTCAGAGGGAACTCTTCAACAAACCGACATAAGCGGGCAGTAGAACCACATTTCCCGCTTATTAAGTACCGCCGCCGAAGAAGTAGGTGGATTTCAGCGAGCTCGAAAGAACAACTGGTACGATGGAAGCTACAGAGAAACAAGTAAGAAAGGCTAAGTTCGGGCGGAGCCGAACATTAAATACCCGGCGCAAGTATTAAATATAAGTTTTTCACCTTTCCGAAAGCTACCGCTATATGGTAAGCCGGGGTGTATCAATTTTGAGTAAATTAGTGTCCTTAAATTTCGAAATATGGATGTTTCAAGCATTCCTGAAATTTACCGTTATATGAAAAGCGGCCGTAATTTTAGTCAGGTTTTTTGCTTCTATGTGGCAAGTACAATAACCACACCAAGTTTGGTACAAATTGCTAGAACGGTTACCGAGATACATATATGTGACCATAGGTGGGCGGTGCCACGCCCATTTTCCAAAACTTTATCATAAACGTATTTCTTGGCAAAGAATTGTTGCAAGCATCAATTTTGAATAAATCAGCTTGAATATTTACTGATTTATCGAAGATTTCGTATTTCTCTAAATTACCGTTATATGGGATGTGGGCGTGGTTATTGCCCGATTTTAAAAATTTTCGGTCATTTCGTTTGCTATACTAAGGCCAACAACTGTGGCAGCTTGGAATAAATTGGTGCAGCGGTTACCAAGATATACACATGTAACCATAAGTGGGCGTGGCTACGCCCATTTTCCAAAAATTTATAATAGTCTTATTTTCCGTCTAAAACTTATTGTAAATATCAATTTTGAGTGAATAATATTTCGAAGTTACTAAAATATCGGAGTTTTGGTATTTCTGAAAATTATCGTTATATGGGCGGTAGGCGTGGTTATTTTCCGATTTTGCCCATTTTCAATACCATCCGTCCTACGCCAAAAAGAAGTGCACGTACCACGTTTCGTTAAGATATCTAAATTTTTACTGGTGTTATCGTGTGCACAGACGGACGGACGGACAGTCACCGCTTAATCGATTTCTCTTTTCATTCTGATCATTTATGTATACATTTGTCTATATCTATCTCGACTCGTTTTGCCTGTTACAAACAACCGTTATGTGAACAAAGTTATAATATCCTTGTGCACAAGTGCGCTCGGGTATAAAAAGATGCCGCATACAGGGCCACGCTGCGATCAAGCGCAACGCGCGCTATGTGGGACCGCTATAGGAATTTGAAACGGGAAGCGAGACATATTTTCCGGAATATGAAGAGAGAGGCCGAAATACGTGAGTGCTAAGAGCTTGAAATGCTGGCCGACAGGAAGAATGCCCGAAAATTTTACCAGAGAGTTAGGTGACTTACGGAAGGTTTTAAGACCAGGGCGTACTCCTGTAAGAACAATTGCGACCTAGTTACCGATGTTCAGAACATACTTAAATTGTGGAGGGGACATTTCCTTACCCTATTGAATAGTAGCAGCTTGGAAAGTTGTGGAGAAGAAGAACCCGAGCCCGCAGTCGATGATGACGGAGTCGATGTTGCTCCGCCTGACTACGATGAGGTACGAATAGCAATAACGCGGCTGAAAAACAACAAAGCTGCTGAAGCTGATAGCCCGCCAGCTGAGCTATTCAAGTACGGCGGTGCTTGATAGGTGCATTCATCTACTCTTGTGCAGAATATGGTCAGATGAACGCATGCCAGACGGCTGGAATTTAAGTGTGATATGCCCAATCCACAAGAAAGGCGACACCGCCAGTCGCGCCAATTACCGCGGGATCAGCCTTCTAAGCATGGGTTACAAGGTTGAGCTTATTGTGTGAAAGACTGAAGCCCACCGTCAATGAACTGATTGGGCATTATCAGTGTGGCTTTAGGCCTGGAAAATCCGCCATAGACTAGGTAATCACAATACGCCAAATCTTGGAAAATACCTGCGGGAAAAGGATCGACACTTACCACATATTTGTCGAATTTAAAGCCGCTTCCGACAGAACTAAAAGGAGTTGCCTATACGCCACTATGTCTGAATTTAGCATTCCCGCCAAATTGATACGGCTGTGTAAAATGACGTTGAGCAATACCACCAGCTCCGTCAGAATTGGAAAAGACCTCTCCGAACTGTTCGCCACCAACCTGGATTTAAGAGAGGGCGACTCCCTTTCATGTGACTTCTTTAATCTGATGTTGGAGATAATAAGAGCTGCAGAACTGAACCGCTCAGGAACAATTTACTACAAGAGCGTGTAATTGCTGGCTTATGCCGATGACATCAACATCATCGTTAACGAAAACCGCGAAGTCTGTTCTTCCTTTTCCAAGTTGGATAAGGAAGCAAAACGAATGGGTCTGGTGGTAAACGAGGACAAGACGAAGTATCTCCTGCCATCAAACAAACAGTCAGCACTTCGCGCCCTGGCACCCACGTCACAGTTGACAGTTATAATGAACCGCTCAGGAAAATTTAAAATAACATCGGCATCATCGGTAACAAAAACCGCGAAGTATGTCCTGCCTTTTCCAAGTTGAATAAGGAAGCAAAACGAATGGGTCTGGTGGTAAACGAGGAAAATACGAAGTATCTCCTGCCATCAAACAAACAGTCAGCAAATTCGCGCCCTGGTACCCGCGTCACAATTGACAGTTATAATTTCGAGAAAGTAGAGAATTTCGTTTACTTGGGAACCAGCATTCTGGTTCGAATAGACATCGACACTCCAGCTCTGAAAGTATTCAACTCGGAACCCGCTGGTGGTAGCAGAGGAAGAGAGAGGCCCCCACTGCGATGGAAAGACCAGGCAGAGAATGACTTGGCTTAACTTGGCATTTCCAATTGGCGTCAATTGCCATGGAAAAGAAACGACTGGCGTGCTTTGTTGAACTCGACCAGAATCGCTTAGGTGGTTACAGCGCCAAACAAGAAGAAGTAGAAGGATGCTAGCTGCAAGTACATTACTATTTTCCGACTTATAAAACTAACTCTATACATATTTTCCTGCACTTTTGCATATTGAAATAGTATGCAAAGCAGAGTAAAATTATTTATAAATGAGTAAATTGTCTACTTCTTTAAAACGCATGACCGAAATAGAGCTGCCGAAAAAGTGAGGTTAAGTTACCGACTAAACCTTATTATTACCCCATGGGTCCTGCGCTTTTGGCTGTGAACCAGTGCAAGGTTATGGAAGCTTCCACATCAATTGTAGCATATTTTTAAAAAATGAATAAGAGAGGGCTTTCAAGCTCTCTACGAAATATTTATTTATCCTAAAAATAAAGAAAACATTATCAGATTTACAGTTAATTAATTAAAGGATTAATAAAAGGATGCTTCCACCCATCGAGGCAATGCAAATGCTGCGGAATGTACATTACTGGTATAATATTTCAACTTCATATTTTCTAATTCTGTTGAACTAAATTCCTTTATCGGCGATTTTAAATCTCTGTGGGGCTCGAGGCATCCAATTACGAAGCCAATGTGCCCACATGGATAACTCGGGACATTCGTATGGGCATATGCTACAGTTGAGAAATGCTTTTTGCAACTCTGCAAGGTATTTTTCACATGTTTACAGTTCAGCCAATAACTTCCGCCTTGGGAGCACACAATACCATCTGGTCGCAAAGCATTTTTCAAAAGTTTATAATAACTCTCCTGAAACAGAGACTGTGCAGGACCAACTGGATCAGAACTATCCGTTATAATAACATCAAATTCATTCTCGTGCTCTTTCATGTAAGCGAAACCATCTCCAATGGTAAGTTTAAGTTTAGGACTCTGGAACCCACATGCCATGCTTGGAAAGTATTTTTTTGAAAGCTCTATTACCCTCTCATCAATTTCCACTTGATGGACTTCCTCTACCAACGGATGTTTTGCTACCTCTCGTGCAACTCCTCCATCGCCGCCTCCAACGATAAGCACATTTTTAGGACTTTTGTGACTGTTCAATGGAAGAAATGATATCATTTCTTGATATGAAAACTCATCTCGCGTTGAACATTGAAGGATTCCATCTAAAACAAGGCAAGTTCCATACGTCGACCTAAAATATACAAAATCAGTTAAATTATTATGGCTATAAATGGGCGATAGAAATAGAAATAAAATAAATAAATTAGTTAATAGCAAATATCACTGTGCGATAAATTGAAGGTCAAGATGTGGGGGGTGAGAAATCTTTTTGGAGAACGGGCGAGCTTATGATAACCCCAAAGAAGTTTGACTCATCGAGGGCAAAATAGTTTTTGAATGTCAAATTAAGTGTGCATATGAGCTATAATTGTACGAGTCCTACACCCTTTTTGATTTCATAATTTAGATTTGGCTGAAATTGCCGCTGTGGCTGCCTGCAGGACCTAAGTTCAATCCCTGGCCGAGCAACATCTGAATAAGAAAAACTTTTTTCTGACAGCGGTCGCGGCAGACAATGACAAACTTCCGAGTGTAGGTTTTGGACGATACTACTAACAAGTACGATACCAGCAATAATTTTTGTTCCTTTCAGGGTATTTTTGGCATCGATGGCTTTAACGAAATACTCGAGTAAAAATATCGATACTTTACCTCGATACCCCAGCATTTTCAGTAGTTGTCACTTTTGTTATTGTAGTGGTATTTTTGCTATCTCTATTACTGTAGTCGACAATAAATAATATATGGGTAAATTCACGTCAAATGACTCAAACGCGCTGAGCGGTGCAAAACAAGCTACTTTTCGCCTAGCTGGGAATCAGACAAAAAATGGGAATCAAAATTCGAAAAATATGATTTCTCTTTATTTTTCTACAGGCTATCCGATAATGCTATGTGTTTTCGAAAACTATCCCATTTTCATGGCGAAGTTCGAAGCAAAAATTTATTTGTAATTTTTCGCAATTATGGTCATTTTTAACTAATGTTTCATTTCATTTTCAGTTCAGTGTACGAGCAAAAACCGTTGTGCCACCAGTAGTGTGATTCACTAACTTTTTACAATGCGGCTTGCCGAGTTGTAAGCCAACAATTTTGGTTGTTTGCAGTAACGATTGTGCGATTCGCGAACTCTGCTGCCGCTTAAAGTGTGTTTGCATTGGCTAGGTTCAGAAGGCGCAGCAGTTGAGCGCCTTCTGAACGGCTTGATACATTAGCTGTCAAATTTAATTCTCAAACAAACCAACATGTTGTCTCAAATGATCAGAAAAATATTACGATCATCTAACACGCAACTGTTCAGTTGATCAGAAGTACACAACAACGCGTTCAGAAGGTGCAATCGCAAGAGTTACTGAGCTGTTGCGCCTTCTGAACGTGCCCATTGTTCAACTTTGCGTTCCACATTTGCGTTCAACTCAGCGCAGGGTCGCACGAAAAAAAGTTGAATGGCTAAAAATATAAAAAATATGAAAAAATATCGAAATATTCGCCATAAACAGGTGTTTGCATTGTTCAACTTTGCATCCAACTTTTGGTTGAATGGCCTTTCAACTAATTGATTTCAACAAAGTTGGTCGCCAGCCAACATTTAGCCATTCAACTTTTTTTCGTGCAACCGTGCGTTGAGTTGAACGCAAATGTGGAACGCAAAGTTGAACAATGCATACACTGCTTAATGGGCACAAATTCGTTGTATATGCCAAGGCGCTCGTGTGAGCACAAAGTTCGCAAGCGTTTTATATGGAAGAAAATGCCCAACACTAGGGTTGTTCGACTTCACTAGAAAGTCGACTTTCGACTTTTCGATCGATTCTGTGCAGTCGACTTTAAAAGTCGACCGATCCACGAAGAAAAACCGACTTTTTTAATAAATAAAATTATTATTATACTCTGCGTTTAACCCATATATTAGCTATAAATGTAGGGTTCAGAATAGGCCAAAAATATTACGATTTACTAGTGGTCTTTAGAGTAGTCTGTAATTTATTGAAATTCAATTTATTTATTTATTTATTTACCTGTAAGACTCAGTCTTTTGTAGTACATCAACAGCTTTCGATTACAAAATTAAAACGCAAAATCGTCTGATACAGACTTATCTTAAATCTAACGTAAAAATATAATAGCAATAAATTTAAATACAAAGAGTTATCTTAAATTTAAAAATAAAATAAAAAATAAAATAAAAAATAAAAATTAAATAAAAGTAAGATTAAATTGTAGTCATTTAATAGTCACTCATTGCAGTTGGGAAACCCAAAAAGAAAAACACAAAGCAAAAAAAAACAAAAAAGATGGAGAAATAAATAGAGAAAAGAGAACTGTTAAATTGCAATCACATTTATCGCACAGAGGTGAAATACTTGTGTATTACTTTCTTATAGTTGCTCCTATTCAACGCAGCTTTGATAGTATCAGGAATGGAATTCCACAGCCTCACAGCATTAACAAAAAAATAGCCGGGATGAGGGCAAATAGGAAAATTTAGGGATAATCAGATTTTGATGCCTACAAGACTTAGGTAATTCTAACTTCTCGTGAAGATATTTCGGTGTTTTGAATTGTATGAGATTGTAAATATATATACAGTTTCTGGCCGAAAGATATTCAAAAATGCTGCATCCAAGAATTTTGTTTTTCCAGAAAGAGATGTGGTCATATTTTTTGAGGCCATAAACGTGACGCGAGGCCATGAACGCAACATCAATTTTGTGATATGAAGTAGAATCAAGTTTACTATACACAAGCTCAGAGTACGTAATGTGTGGTACAATGAGTTGAATTGCTAGTTTTCTTCTAGTCTCTAAAGGCGTGAACGAAGCTGACATTCTCAATCTACGTAAAACAAAATACACATTATTAACAACTTTATTAATATGGTCAGAGCAGCTCAACATAGAGTTAACAACGAAGCCTAAGTTTCTAACTTTGTCAGTAAACGTAAGGACACTATTACCAACAAACATTTTTGGAATATCCTCAACATGTACAACATTGTTACTAATGGGTAACACATATGACTTCGCAGCATTTACGCAAACACAATTATCACGGGACCATTGCGATATTGCAGACAAGTCACTATTTATTTTATAACACAAATCTTCAACAAGACCGACACGGCTAGACAAATACAATTGATTGTCTTCAGCATAGGCATGGACATTAACATACTGACAAACAGAAAATACATCAATGACAAAAAGACTAAACAAAAGGGGACCAAGCACGGAGCCTTGCGGCACACCGGAGGCAACAATACAGGATTTTGATTACGCAATTGGCACATCACCTTTTGACTTCTTCCCTCAAGGTAGCTGGTCATAAGTTTAGCAGAGCTATCGGAGAATCCAAAGTAATATTTAAGCTTTGTACAAAGCAGGTCATGATTTACTAAATCAAACGCCTTAGTAAAATCAAGAAGGCTGAGAAGAGTTAAGTTATCTTTGTCAAACTGTATTCTTATGTCGTCAAGTATTTTCAACATAGCTGTAGAGCAGCTATGCTTTGGTCTAAATCCTGACTGCAACGGAGATAAAAGATTATTTTCTTGAACGAATGATGAAATTTGCTCTGCCATCAAAGACTCACACACTTTTGATAATACTGGCAAAATGCTTATTGGCCTGTAGTCACTAGGTTCAGAGGCGGTATTCTTTTTTTCTTTTTAGCGACAGGAATAATCACAGCTTTTTTCCACTCCGTTGGAAAACATGAAGTTGTGAAGCAGTGATTGATTATATGTGTGAGAGTTCCTAGAATGAATGGCAGCACAAGTTTCACAAACTTCAAGGATATACCATCCTCACCAATAGCATTAGACTTGATGCTCATAATTGACTTCATAACTTCTGCTTCTGTATCTCCATTAAATTGAAACTTTTGAAAATTTTTCCAGTTATACAGCATGAAAATGTTGGTTGTGAGGGTTTTTAAAAATTACATTTTTGAAAAATAATGTAAAAATGTTTAAATTTTCATAAAACAAAATTACGGACAATTTTTTTAAAAATGTTGCCTTCCGATGGAGCAGAGGTGGCGGGTATTGGTAGAAATATAATTGCCACTTTATAAACATGGGATAAATATGGCAGTAGCGCAGACAGCTAGTGGATTGGGATTATCTACACGACTAATGTCGCATATTAACTGGAATTCTACCAGCAGCGTTTCTATCGGTGTTTAAAATTTTGCACCTTACGGATTGGTCAAATTCGAACTAAAGACTGTCTGTAGAAATTTACATAAACTCATGCAGAAAAACTTTCTTGCATGAAATTTTTAAAATAAATACCTATGTTTACCTTACCTTATTATTAACTGAAGATTGTGGAGACAAACGATTAACAAATTTGAGGAATTTGTTTTCATATAATAATTTTATGCGCTGCTCTTAAATGATTTGACAATGTTGTTGTACTGTCATTAAAATTCATCTCTCTACCACAGTTTTCACATTTCACTTCAGTTTTATTGGCAATTTTTTTTAAATACGACCAAACAGCACTCCGCGCCCTTGTTAGAAGATCAGTTTTTATTTGCAAATAAATTTAAAAAAGTCGAGAGTCGAAAGTGAAAAGTCGACTTCAGTCGACTTCCATAAACTGAAAGTCGATCACTAAAATTCGACTTTCAGGAGTAAGAAGTCGATTTTGGTCGAAAGTCAAAGTCGAATTTGCTATCCCTACCCAACACCCTCCATAAAAAAATTCAAAAAAATTAATGGTAACCTTTAGCGACTTGAAACTTGCTTTTTATTAGTCTAAAATTGAACGGGCTACAAAACTGCTTACCCGAAAATTTTATAAAGATTCTGAGTAAAAAGTTCGAAATCTTGGTGAAAATTTATTTAAGTTAGATTGATTTCTGTGCAAGCTTTGAAATTTTTATTCACGGGGTTTCTGTTGTTATATAGGAGATGGAACTATTAAAAATAAAACTATTTGGAATAAATAAATGCACATAAGTAGCAAACAACATAATTTTGAATTTTTCTGCCATATTTTACTCGAAGCTGTAAACAAAAAGCTTACAAAAACATTTAAAATGAAATATATTGTTAATATTTAAAAATTCACTGTATGCACATACATATTTATTTTCAAAGACTGATTTTATTATGCTAGTGTCTTGATGATTATTAAAGAAATATTTAAATATGCATATACATATATGATATCTATATTTTTAATAAACGATGTACACGTATTAAATTGAAAACGTAAGATTAAAAAATAGACTTATCATCTTTTAACTTCCAGTTTTCTATATTTGTGTTACGCCCTATTGGAAAATTATTACCGGAACACATATAGACAAGTTTTAACAAACAATTTTTTGTTATTTAATTTATATTACTTGTTAATAGTGTGATGAAATGTGTGATGGCCGCTGTGGTGTAGTGGTAAGCAGTGCGCGCTTCCACTCCGCAGCAACTGGGTTCAAACCCTGGTCAAAGCAACATCGCAAAAATATAGAAAAAAGGTTTTTTCTTAACAGTGGTCGTCCCTCGGCAGGCAATGACAAACCTCCGATGCATTTTTGCCATGAAAAACAGCTTCTCATAAAAATACAATCGCCGTTCAGAGTCGGCGTAAAACTGTAGGTCCCTCCTCTTTGTGTGACAACATCAAGGCGCACACCACAAATCGGAGGAGAAGCTCGGCCAAACACTAACATATGTGTAAGCGCCAATCTATTATTATTATTATTATTAATAGTGTATTCTGCACCTAAAATCGCATATACTCTAGTTTCAAACCTTGTGCAACATTTAAACAAAATTCAACAAACTTTCATAAAACTTCAAGTTTTTTATCAGAATAATAAACAAATTATGTATGCAGTTTTGTAGCCCAATGAATTTTAATAAAATAAAGTACAAGTTTGATGTTGCTTGCTTGCCCGAAGTCGGCCGGACAATTTTTCCGGGCGAGTTGTAAAAACTGTCAAACTGCCAAAAGAAAAGGAATGATTTTAGACAAGGCGAATTTATATAAGGTGGTGTTACTAGCTCAGCTGATTTTGTGTATGTGTTTCGCCGCACGGCTTCCTATATCAAATTGAAAAATTTTGTTTGAATTTCTACACACACTCTTACAGATTTTGACAGTTTATGCCGCCAAAGCAAAAACAAAATACATGTAATTTTTTGTTTCTGCTATCACCTTATATTAATTCGCCTTGATTTTAGACATTCAAATTTTAGCTAATCGTAAATTTATAATTTTGTGCGATTTGACGTTGACGATTGACACCTGTCTTGAAATCTTGCAAAGCCGTTGCACGTAGCATGGATGCACGAATTGCATAACTTGAAAACACACAACAAATACATGGGAAACAACATTTCCTATCACTGAAAAATATGCAAATTCGAAATCCAGGTGTATATTTTGCAAAAAAGCATAGCAATATAAATGCGAAAACAAAACAGTGTGAAATTTTAAATATAAAAATTTTCATAAACGAAGCTTCAATGATAATATTTCTAAAGAACTTAAAACATATAGTAAAATTGAAATAAAAATCACACCAATTATAGATTTCTATATATGTATGGATGTATGTACATTGCCGCTTTAAATTATTGACATAGGGAATTTTTCACAAAAAACATAAAAAAATATCTTAACTTCCTGCAAAACTTAGGCAAATTCGATAAATTTGAATACAAGTTGGCATTTTAGTATAACAAAGTTCTAGTTTAAAGTTAGTAAAAAATCGTGTTGATTTTTGGGAATTTCTTTGCAGGTAGTTTCTTCCAAACAAAAAAAAAATTGTCGAATATACTTTGTATTTCACTCATTTTAACCGGAACACAATTACAAATTTTGCTTCACTATACGGCATATAGATCGATTAGTAGATAGAATATGTAAAATGTAAATATTTAAATAGTTCTACATTTTTTACAAAGAAATGTCTACATTTCTTACCAAAACCCGGGTGCCGGGACCGGGACATAACTCTTAAATCCGGGACAGTCCCGCCAAAAACGGGACGGTTGGCAACCGTGGGCGTGAAAGCTTTCGTTTTGACTGATTTCTTCACATACTGAACATCCAAAATACTGTCTAAAACAAATTAAGTTTGCACATTGTCTTCTAATAGAATCAAGCGAATAATAAAATTGTCTGAGCCATAAGCCCCGGCAACTATTGCTCCATTTTTGTAAAACGATATCACCCAAATTCATAAACTATAAAGAAGACTTTAACTGCTTTACAAATCGAAAATTTGTATGAAATCTCACTTTATAGAGCTCTATAAATCTATTTTATTTTCTATGAATAACGCCATAAATGTATTATTATTTTTCACTTAATGAAATGAAAAAATAAAATAAAATATAATTGTCAGATATTAATTCGCCGTTGGGAATATTGTCAAATGATTTCGCCTTGATTTTGATAGTTTACGCCATGATAAAAACATTACAAGGTAAATTCATTCTCTCATTTCGCCGGCCATGACTTTTTTCTGACGTTTGCCAACATTTTAAAATCATATAAAATTGAAAATAAAAAACTTAAATTGTTCACAATTGTTGTTGTTTGAGGTTGAAAATGAGAATGTGTGTGTGAGTTTGAGTTTTGATTTTAAAATTATATTGTTGGCAAACGTCAGACTGCCTCTCAATGGTTTTACCTTGTTATGTTTTTATCATGGTTTACGCCGCCAAAGCAAAAACCAAATACATGTAATTTTTTTTTTGCTCTCCTGTTATCTGCTTTTCACAAAATCAGTTAAAAAAGTGATACAGTAATCTATACTTCATTCTTCATAAGGGCTAAGCAGAAGCATACATGTGAATCTTATTGAAATAAAAGATTTAAATAAGGAGATGTACTCACGTTTCTATTACTTTAATCTCCTGAAATCTTGATTTCTCTTCGTGAAGAATTTTATTTACTTTTAGAGAAAACGCTTGGCCTGGCCACAAGTCATTTTGTAATTCACTAAACCAACCCTTTAAAATTGCATCCACCATAATGAAAGTTAAACACGACGCTCAAAAACAATAGGACTAAATGGATTTCTCGTTTCGAATTGTTATGTGACCCATAGCTTCATTGATTATTATAAGAAAAACGCAGATAACGAACAATATTTAAAATGTGTATTCCTTATCTGTTTTTTGGGGTGTCAGGAAATTGCTATAGTAACCGTAGCACCGGCCGCCCTGTAGAGAAATACATACAATAAAACATTCAAGTGTTGATATTTTAAGCACAATTGCGCTTTTATTATTCCAATTAGTTGTACAATGTACTAAATTGCACTTAATAGGCTTTCAATATAAGTCGCATTTGCCTACCTGATAATTACTGATAGTTATCAAAGACTATCAGCTTTTGGCGTTCGCATACGCAAAAAAAATTGCAAAGTAGGATGAAGGAGAGAGCAAAGAGAGATGTCATTTTGAGAAAAATTGTTAGCTTCTGGTGAACAAATTTTTGCCAGCAAGAAAATCAGTTGATCAAAAACAACTAGCTGGTATTTAAGCAAACCAAAAAATTAAATTTTAGCATCTTTGATGGTTTGCATGTTAAAAATGATAAAATTTAAGTAACTACACGACGCTAAAAAATCACGAAACAAAAGTTAGTGCAGCTTGTAGGACAAAAAACAACCGTTATGTTCGTACTTGGAAGTTTTCATCAGGTAAAACTAAAAACCCTTAGGTTGCCAATTATGTATGTAGTATTTGTCTAAAAGTACATTTAGTTTCGAATAAACTGATACATCACTTAATGCAATTGCATACAAATTTTTCCAAATTTAACAATTTAAGGAAAAATACAGTCTTGAATTTATTAATGTATGTTAGCAAAAAATTGGTTTTTCATAAAATTTCAGGAAAATGGGCGAGGCACCGCCCACTTATATCATATTGTAACTTAAACTTTCCTTCCCGAGGAAAGTGTTTAAAAAAATATCCAAGTTTTATTTAATCCGCATCTCGCGGACAATTATCAGAAGTGAACTTTTGTCTCTTAAAGCACGAAAAAAAGTTGAATGATGGAATATTAAAATATGAAAAAATATCAAGATATTCGCAATAATTCGCAAAAAGGTGTTTGCATTGTTCAACTTTGCATTCAACTTTTGGTTGAACAGTCTTTCAACCAATCGCTTACAACAAAGCTGGTCGCCAGCCAACATTAAGCCATTCAACTATTTTTCGTGTAATCCTGCGTTGAGTTGAACGCTTAAGAACTAATTTCACAATGACGTTTTGGCGTTGCATCAGCCAGTGGATTGATGAAATGCCAATGCTTGAGAAATGCAGTATTGTTTTCTTAATTTTTAATTAAATAAAAAGTGTACAGAAGGTACGGGAAAGACATCGTTGCACTTTATGCGTTCTGGGATATTGGAATGCACTTATGTTTACAGCTGTTTGAGGTCTGTTTTTTGGTTTGATCTTCGATTGCAAAGAATTTAATTAAGAATGCAAAAATGCTGCTGTCAGCATTTTGGCCATTCGTTATTTTAACTACATTTGTTTACGCTAACTTTGGGTGGCTTTTAGTTTGATATTAAACTACAGAAGTTGTTGCGTTATGATTTTAATTAAAAAATGAATGTAAGCTTTCTGTATTTGAACTTTATTGTGTACAATTTGTATTTAAATCGTTATGTGTGGTTTGCTGTTAACTTGTATATATCAAAAACGACTTCACCGATCTCGAGAAATTTGACATACAAATTGTGCTTAGCTTAAGGAGGCTGTCCGTGCTCCACCCACATAACGGTAGTTTAAAAAAAACTCAAAGCTAGCTATATTTTAGGGGAGCAGGTTTTGTTGTTAATTAATAAATAATAAAATAAAAATGGAGGGTTCAGGAACTAATAGAAACCAATTTTCATGTTGTACTCGACCCTACCTACAACGTGCACTAAGTTTTGTTTCGGTGTATTTCATGATTTGTTTTTAGCATCGTATTATTCGCTCAGTCAATAAATTGCGTCAGGGTAACACTTTGCGATCAGTTTTTGTTTTAAATTTTAGACTTTTTACTGTAAACAAAAATTCTATGAACTGTATGTTGTTATCTTATGAGAGAATATATGGCATTTGGACGGGGTTTTGCTGCATATTTCTTAGTGGAGATTTTAAACGATATCTTTCATTACAACATCGCAAAGTTTTTTCTACTATTCAACAGTGGTCACATTCGGTCAAAACATACATTATACTTGCTCCAAAATAAATTAGTATTGAAAATAGAAATATCGGATAGTGACCCCGCCCCTCCTGCAACGTAAGTTTTGAAACAAAAAAAAAAACTATGTTTCAATAACAACTAAAGCCAAACTACCGATAAATGAAATTTTCATCAACCATTTATCAATAAATTATAGTTTCCCTTTGATTGTTGATGCTTCCAGCAGGGTAGGAGTATGATGTATTTCGGAATTAATATCCGTCATCATTTATTAATTTCGGTTTCTCACGTATAATTTTTCATTCTGATTAGCTAGTTTTTTTCGTCCGTGTTTATGCTCAGAAACGCCTTGTTAAGTACGTCGCGGTTAATGTATGTACATATAGTTATTTATATATATAAAAAAGGATGTATGTATGTATGTATGTATCTATGCAGCTTATAGACTCCGAAACCATTCAGCCGATTTTGTTAAAATTTCCAGGATAGCTTCATAGAAACTCGGAGAGTGTTCGTGTGAAATGTGGCTATTTTTGAAAGAGTTGCCACCTGTCAGAAAAATAAAATTTATTTAAATATGCAAGTAAAGTAAGTATAGATATCAAATGGAAGGTATTTGAGAAAGATATTTAAGAAAATTTACATCAAAAAATATTTTAATAAGTGTTGCCACCTGGTCAAATAGTTAAAAATAATGAATATCTAATGCAATTCACATCAAATATTGCAATATGGGTATCCAACGGAAGGTATTGGAGAAAGATTCACGCCAAACATATTTTTGAGTAGAGTTGCCACCTCTTTCAAAAAAAGTTAAATGACATAAATGTGTGTATTAAAAAGTATTTCGCAGGATACGTATCAAACGGGAGCTATTGGGAAATGTTTCAGTTAAGACCAATTATCGTATAGAGTGTCCACATACTTAAGAAAATAAAATCGGATAATATTTTTAAGAAATACCAAAGATTTAGAGTGTGATAAACTTCAAAGTCTGTCAAACCGAAAGCTTACCAGAAAGAAAATGCCGAATCCAAATTTTTAAATCTATATGTGAACATATGTATGTATGTTAATGCCAGAGTTGTGTAAATTTTCACCAGGTTGCAATTTAAAAAGGGAATTTGTTTAATAGTTAAAAACCAAAAAAGTACTCAATATTAATGCATAACTTTTGTTTCTTATTGAATAAGGCTTAAAAAAATATAATAAAATTTGCAATAAAAAATGTTGTAATATTTTTTCCTAATGCGCATACGAGATTTTGCTTGCATAATTTTCCTAAATTTGGGTGTATAAATTTTGGTATTTTTCCACAACATTCAAGAATACCTACATAGAAAACACTTTGTTACCTAAGTTCACATAAATAAAGGGTTTAAAAATTTCAAATTATTTGGGAGGAAAGTACCTGCAGAATTATAGCATTCGTTGTTATTTTACGGTTGAAGGTAGTTAAATATTGTTTACAAGAGTATATTTTGTTTCCCTAGTTTACCTAAACAATGGCTTCATAAATCTTGGGATTTTTCCACAACATTCTTGAAGAAAATACCTACGTACAAAGAAATTTTTCTGTATACACTAATTTAGATAAATAAGAGGTTGCGAAAGTCTACCGATTTTTTTTAAATTTATTGCAGGAAAAGTACCTGCAGAGAATATCTTCTGCTGTTTGCACACGTTTTAGCATAGATAAAATATGAGGATTTTTAATCTTTTTAAGTGGAAGGTACCTTCAGAGAACATATTTATATTGTTTGCCTGAGTTACATAAATATAAGGTCGCATAGCTAAAACATTCGCTCACAGCAAGTGTAGACACTGCGCAAACGATAGTGAATTCTTTTTCATCTGAGATCAGTTCAACATACAGAGTATTATTATTTACATTCACAAAAAAATAAAATCATGCCACCAAAGAAAGCATCAATTGGAAGAAAAAACCTCAAAACAAAAAAGTCGAATGAATACAGAGCGGAGGAAACGGAAAATCAACGAAATGTCCGACTTCAACAAAATCGAAACAGGGAGACAAGCTCGAGAAATGTGGAAACGGAAAACCAGCGGGAATCTCGCCTCCAGCAAAATCGTGTGAGAGCTTCAACCTCCAGAGA